AGCTGCACCCCTCAGCATCATGCCGGCGTGCCGAGCCCACTCCGCCCGGTTGACATGACAAAGGGAGAGGTATTCCTCCACTTGGAAAAGTCACCGTCGCACCGGTAAGTGACGTTTTCCAGGGATGAACGGCTCAGGTTCGGGTGCTTTGGGTCGTGCAGAAACCACAGCAGGTGCTGGCGTCGGCACCTGTGTGCCCAGGAGTCCACGTTCCTGGAGTTCGCCGAGGATCCGGTCACGCACCTCGCGTTCAATTTCTCGGCGCATATTCGCCACAAATTCGTTCCAGAGTTCCGGCGTCATATCAGACGGTCCCGCCATAGGGTCTAGAATATGGCGGGAGCGTGCGAAATAACTAACCAGGCTCTGATTACCAGTGAAACGTTGCTGGCAGGGAAGTAGCAGCCTTAGTAGGCTAGGAAAACGAGGATGGAGTGCTCTCTGGAGTTCTCTGGAAATTGCACTATGACTTCACAAATTTCACAAATTTCACAGTACAATTTTATAGAGCACATTCAAATATCGAGTCGCACTCCCAAGTCGTGACTCTCTCTGAATTTCTCAATGGTAACCCAACCCCTTTGAAATGAACCTGCCGTGAAATTCAGAGAATTATTGCGGTACGGGATTGGACGGCGAGCTTGGTTACGGGGCTGTAATTTCGTCGGTGTTGTTGGCGAAGTCGGCGAGCGGTCGGAACTTCGGTGTTCTGCGTTTCGTAATTTTCGCGCGAGGGTTTGTGTTGGGCTGCGCGTCAGGACCTGGTCGCCCAGCTGCAGGTTGAGGCGTTTGACCAATACGAACAGTTGGTGAGGTGGCGCTTGACTTCCGCCCACCTGCACTGTACTTGGCAGCATTCGGCTGCCACACTGTTACATGGGTCGCTCCTCGAGTCCTCTTCGACTCCACTGCCGAGGCGACGACGACACCGTTGCTCGCATTCGTTGCATAGTTAGTGGCGATTCGCGAACTTCTCTCGCCTTCCAGCGTTCCTGCGCTTCCTGGGCCCATCGTGCGTCCAGTTGCACCGTCCCTTGGTCTGACGCAACCGGTGGCTTCCCTCCAACTTCTCGCCTCGGATCCGTTTGTTCGCGTTGATGCGGCGCCCGATACGTCCGCGATTCGCTACGACGTGATGTACGCTCGCTCTTATCTTTTGACTTGATGCTACTAGCATGCGCACGCCATCCTGGTGTTGCTTGCATCGTCTCCATGGTCTTACGCTGGTAACTAAAACCGGATCTCAATTGTACGCTATCATTCATTCCTTGCTTGTTTGTAATGAGTGACAGCTGCTCCTCACTACAGGAGGGCTATGCTCGGCTGACTAACTGCTTGAAGTGGCTTCTTGGTAGCTAGGTCTCAGGAATCCTTTAGCTAATAATGAGAAAACAAACAAGCAAGCAGACGGTTCTATACCCCCACCTTTCCTAAGTAGGGAAACACTTACCGTTGCACATGCATCTGTTGCACTTTTGGACGCCTTTCCCGCTTTGGTCGATTCGTCCGAGGCTCGGCACTTTTCCGTTGGCTTGTTTCGCTATTTGCTACTGATGGTTCTTCCTACACTACACTATTCTGTCACGCGATTTAGGCTATCTATAAGCTAACCTATTACGCTATTGGCTTTATTAAGACCCGAGGTAACCTATTTAACAGTTATCTATCTGATATTTAGGGCTGTACGACTCAGTTTGGCGGGGGGGGGTCTTATATTCGTATCGAATTCGCGCCAATTTCGCGCGTGCGGCGCCTCAGAACTAGGGCCCTATATATCAGACTTTTTAGTCTGATTCAGAGTCCGTTCAGACTTTTTTTTTTTGTACCTAGTCTGAAGTCTAAGAATTTTTTTATGTACCTTGTCAGATTTTCAGAGTTTTTTTTTTTTAGTTGTCTGAAATTTCAGCCTAATTTTATAAGTGTAGGCTGAGCCTCAGACTTGTATCGGGGGTGCACTCTGAAACCGGTAATACAGGGGTTTCCGCCAGCCTGGCGCCGTGTAGCACTAACACCGTCAATCATGGGCGGGACGGGAAACCAAATTTTCCCGAGCGCGGCACCACACAGTTGCGTTGGTATGCTATAATTAGCTTCAATGCTGTTATAACTATGCTTTTACGAAACTGCATGATCTTAAAATTTGAAGGTAACTTTGACAGTTCATAGCGTCGCTGGGAAACCCACTCCCGAAGCTGTGGCGGCAAGAGGGTCTCCTGCTGACTCTGCTGTCGCTGCTGTCCACCCCCATAACCTCCGCCTCCACTAGCGGCACCACCTGTACGAGCAGACGCACAGGCACCTACGCTTGCTTCCTCAACCAGCTGCTGCACCTCCCCTTACAATGGACAGCGCTGCTATAGTGGCCGGGTGGCAGAAGAAAGGGAGGAGAAGCGTCTAACTACAGCGTCGTACAAAGTCTGGGCCGACTTCACCTGACGAAGGTGGTCCCTCTTGTCGACTGGCATGTGAGTTGCGATGACAAGCTGTGCGACATCGTCACGCTCCGTCCACAATGTGTAAGCAAGGATGTCTGCCCGGTACCGCCACTGCACGTCCTCGCCAGCATCAGCAGTAGGCTCAGTGGAGTTGTGGGGGGCTGAAGGGACCCCAACGTGTGCTCGAGCAGGGAGACGCTATTTATAGTGAAAAGCTGGAGATACCTGTGCAGGCACATAACCTAAAACCCTAACTTGAAAGGACGGTCGTCTGTGTCAAGCACTAAGACTGTGACAAAGGCCATGACTGGTAGCGGGAGTCAGAGCAGCGCAAGGGCGACAGTGGCAGCTGTAGGTGCAGCGGGTGGCTGTAGCAATAGCAGAGGCAGGTGCAGTGGCAGTTGGAGCGGCAGTTGGAGCGGCAGTTGCAAGGCAGCGGGGCATGCAGGCGCGGCTCGCGGGGCAGCACACAGACAGGGCAGCTCACGCAGGCATGTGCAGCGTACAAGGTAGCGTATGGGCAGGGCCTGCAGCAGCGCGCGGGCAGCTAGGGCAGCGCGCGAGCAGCTGGGCGCGCAGGGCGGGCGAGCAGGAGGGCAAGGGCACCGACGCACGGGCTGCAGAGCACGTGCGACGTGCAGGGCAGCAGGGCGAGCGCGACGCGCGGGGCAGCAGGGCAGCGGAGCGCAACGTGCTGGCTGCAAGGCGCGTGCGACGCGCGGGGCAGCAGGGCAGCGGCTCGCGACACGCGGGGCTGCAGGGCGCATGCGATGGGCGGGGCAGCAGGGCAGCAGCGCGCGACGCGTGGGCTGCAGGGCGCACACGACACGCAGGGCAGCAGGGCAGCGGCGCGCGACGCGCGGGGCTGCAGGGTACATGCGACGCGCAGGATAGCAGGGCAGGGGCGCGCAATGCGCTGCAGGGCGTACGCGATGCGCGGGGCAGCATGGTGCGTGCGACGTGCGGGGCAACAGGGCCGCGGCACGCAACGCGCGGGCTGCAAGGCGTACGCGACGCACGGGGCAGGACAGTGGCGCGCAGGGCGCGGTGGGCAGTAGGGTGCACGGGGCGTGCAGGGCAGCAGGGAGTGTTGAACAAACCTAACCTAATCGTAGGTTCGGTAGTAGGTTCGGTAGGCGGACCTAACCTAGCGCATGAGACCATGTTAGACATAGAGTGCAGCGGAATGACGAACTAAGAGCAATAGGGATTACAAGTACCAACCCTAATACGTTGTACCCTCTATGAGCTACCCCACTACAACCTAGACAATTAAAAAATATGTTTTGACATACCGTACCGTACATCAAAATTTTGAGTCGCGATGTTGACAAAATGTGTAGACGCGACTCGGGAAAAAGGGCATTGAGACATTTGTGTCGATACAAGAATGTATCCAAATCGGATCAAATGGTATAGTAGCGTCAGCCCTGTTTGTGGCATGTTTCTCGAAATTCCACCACTGAACCCTTTGTGTTATCTTCGCTATTGAATCCGCAAAAGCGAGATCTACGCTTTCATGTCCTTAATTCAAAATTTCATAAGTGTTATTTATTCACCTTATACGTATTTTTCATTTATAAGACCACCCAGAATTTTTCCTAACTGTTTTATAAGCCCAGCTGGGAGTATATCTGGGTGATGATGGTATTTCTTAGCAAGATTAGGCCTAGGGGCCTAACAGCCTGTATGTTACAAACTTACCAACACCCTACCTCTTCTTTTTTCTCTCTTGGTCGTCAAAGCAGTGAAGATGCTTTTGAGGAGTACAAACAGCCGTCATATTCGAGAGGCGTGATACCTGTACAGAAATTATATGCGCCACTTCCTGCCAATAACTTCTAGCGGGCTTCGCGGCGAGGTCGATTATGCAGCACTTCAAGCTCAGTCAATGGAGATGCAGTACAGATACTGCCAGCCCGGAATGACGGAGGAACAGACGCTCAATTCTTGTTCAAATCTCTCGCAACTATTACGGTACCGTACTTAGTCGTTTTCAGATTGAGGTCCTGCCGTTACAGCACAGCGTCGCACTAATCGCGAAAGTCCACGCACCGCGAGACACTACTATGGCCGGGTGTGATCAACTGCTGGCACGCGTCGTGTTGCTGCTGCTCCTCTGCGAGGCCATCGCGAGAGGCGAGGCGGCGCTGCTCGTCTACAGCGGCGGCTACTTCTACACCCCCGGTAAGCCGCCGTCGCCTCCGCGTGCTCGTTTGCGAAGCCGCGATCATCATGGTGGTCGCCTGCATGCGCGCGCCCCGCAACACGGCCGTCGCCCGCATGCAATTACCGCCTGTTTCTCAGAAACACTTGCGCTGCGCGGTCCGCTCCTCGCCTTCTATATCCTTCCGCCCGCGCGACTCAACCACAGGACGCCGTGCTGGAGCGTGCCTGCCATTCGCCCGCCCCGCAGTCTAAATGCGCCACCCAAAGGTTCTCGCTTTACTCTCACCATGCTTCCATCGCACGGAGTCCTTCGCTAGAGCGCGCGTCGCGCGTTCGTTAGCGCGTGTCCGTTTTAACGTGTCCCGCACGCCTTCTGCAGTTCTTTGTGTGGCGCGTCTAAGCAGTTCCCTGTGCGGCGTTGCTTGCGCAGATTACAAGTACCGCACGCCGTGGTGGGGCGCGCTGCTGCTGCTGCTGGGGGTGGTGTCGGTCGTCATCGCGCTCGTCATGTGCTGCTGCAACTGCCTCGGCGCCTGCTGCGACTGCTGCTGTCCGCGGAGCAACACAGTCAAGGTCGTTCACGAGCGCTCGCCCGTGTAGCTGCGCGCCTGTCGCCCCTTGAGCAGCCGCGCGCACAGCTGATGGCATTGGTGGTCGGGCATGGGACAGGCGCACATGTCCACCGGGAGGTGTAAATACGATATTCAAGTAAACCAGACTACATTATACCGATGTTGATTGACTACTGGCTGGAATTCGAATAACGAGTCAGACTCCAGTATGGGGTTTGCACCTTACAGTGTTTTAAGCAGGTTGATCATGGTTGGTTGTTTGGAGCAATAAATCATGTCTTGATCTACTGGGAGAAACTTCATCGTGCAAACATGCAACTCCGATTGACCTGATTGTGCTGAGTGTGTCATAAACGAACATGAGTACAAAACTGCTACCGTACCCAATTAAACCTGTCATTCAATTTGTGTGAGTGTGACTTTGTCGTACAGGGGCTGCTGGTCGGCTTAGTCTTTTATTCAATTGCTGATTGAGAGAAAGGGATACGGGTACAAGTCAGTGTGGAGGTGGAGTGGATTCTTCTATGGTAGATGTCTTGTTGACTGCACCCGAAGGAGATAGATGTGAGCGACTACCGGTATCCACCATCATGACGGTACAATAGTGTCCTGCAATTGTACCTGCATCCTCTTGTAGCTTTTCTTGCGCTGTACTCTTTATCCCCTCTATACAGCCATCCTTCAGCTTCTCCATTCCGTTGACTGCTCTTGCTCTGACTGCTCTTCCCACCACGTGTTGGTCTGCACACACACAAGGCACAGCATGAGATGAGAGCCACACGACAAGGCACAGCATGAGATGAGAGCCACACGACAAGGCACACCACTATCCAGAGGGCGGTGGCAGTGAGGGCAGAGGAGTAGGGAGGGAGGTCACTGGGAGCGAACCCCACTTCCCCCCCCATGCTCGCCCCACTTCCACCCACATGCTCGCCCCACTTCCCCCCACATGCTCGCCCCACCTCACCGCATGCCACAACAGTCAGGCCCTCCCCCCTGCCTACTGGCATCCTGCCCCCACACAGCCACAGCATCGCCCTAGCCCGCCCCTCCCGCCCATGCCCTGCACTCACCCACTGCTTCTCTCCGGGCGTCTCTGCACCACTTCCCCTCTCCCTCGCCTTGCTACCCCCCCCACTCCGCTTCCCCCGCCCTCACACCTTGCTCGATGCAACCCCCCCCCCCTCCCCCCCCCCCCCCGGTGTGACCTTGTAGCCGCGGCGCAGGAACTGCATGGTGGAGCCATCCTCCTCGCCCAGCCCCAGCGCACGCTGCAGCTCCTCCTTCACCTGCCGCCCCCGCAAGCACATGTGGCACACGGGCACACGGGCACAGGGGCACAGGGGCAGACGGGCAGAGACGGTTGCGGCGCAGAGTCACGGGGGCAGGGGGGACAGCGGGGCAGGGGGGCATGGAGGGAAGGCATGGGGGGAAGGCATGGGGGGAAGGCATGGGGGGAAGGCATGGGGGGAAGGCATGGGGGGAAGGCATGGGGGGAAGGCATGGGGGGAAGGCATGGGGGAAGGCATGGGGGGAAGTCATGGGGAGAAGGCATGGGGGGAAGTCATGGGGAGAAGGCATGGGGGGGAGGCATAGGGGCGAAGGCATGGGGGGAAGGCATGGGGGGAAGGCATGGGGGGAAGGCATGGGGGGAAGGCATGGGGGGAAGGCATGGGGGGAAGGCATGGGGGAAGGCATGGGGGGAAGTCATGGGGAGAAGGCATGGGGGGAAGTCATGGGGAGAAGGCATGGGGGGGAGGCATAGGGGCGAAGGCATGGGGGGAAGGCATGGGGGGAAGGCATGGGGGGAAGGCATGGGGGGGAGGCATAGGGGCGAAGGCATGGAGGGAAGGCATGGGGTAAGGCATTGGGGGAAGGCATGGGGGAAAAGCATGGGGGGAAAGGCAAGGGGCGGACCTGTCCGAGTTGGAAGCGCTGTGGCCCCTCCGCCACACAGACGTACGACCCCGTGCCCTCCTGCTTCACCATCACCTGCCATGGCGCTGCCCCATGCCCGGGGGGAGGCGCGCGTGAGGCGCGCGTGAGGATGCAGGAAAAAAACTGCATCATCACACGTTACACTCCTAGGCAGATACACATGGAATACACAACACAACAACACACACAGACACAGAATTGCAGCAAGCACACGGCCAGTGTCATTGCTGATAGATGGCCCATGGTGCAGGCAGGTGGGCTACGGTGCAGTGGGCATGGCATGGCATGGCATGGCATGGCATGGGAGGGATGGCATGGCATGGCATGGGAGCACACCTGGGTACATTCTGAAGAGCGCCCCGCTGTAGTTGAGGATGAATGGCGACACGGCCACACTCTGACTCGGTTCAATGCATTCAGCACATACCACGTCAGCAGAGCCATGCAAAAGGACATGGTGGGGGGTGAGAGAAGAAGGTTGGGACCAAAGGCACAAGAGGAAGGAGACCGGGGGATGGCAGTGGGTGGTGTGAGGCATGCAGTGGGTGGTGTGAGGCATGCAGTGGGTGGTGTGACGCATGCAGTGGGCGGAAGGTAGGAAAGCAATGAGAGACATGATAACGCAGTGAGCACCTTGGAGTGTGAGGGGGAGCAGGGATGACGAAGTGGGCAGTGACGCTATCGGTCATTTGAACGCGCACCTTGCAGCACCTTGCAGCATTTGCCGCACGCACACCTTGGAGTAGTCGCGCACCTTGGAGTAGTCGCGCACCTTGGAGTAGTCGCGCACCTTGGAGTAGTCGCGCACCTTGGAGTAGTCGCGCACCTTGGAGTAGTCGCGCACCTTGGAGTAGTCGCGCACCTTGGAGTAGTCGCGCACCTTGGAGTAGTCGCGCACCTTGGAGTAGTCGCGCACCTTGGAGTAGTCGCGCACCTTGGAGTAGTCGCGCACCTTGGAGTAGTCGTGCACCTTGGAGTAGTCGCGCACCTTGGAGTAGTCGCGCACCTTGGAGTAGTGGCGCACCTTGGAGTAGTGGCGCACCTTGGAGTAGTCGCGCACCTTGGAGTAGTCGCGCACCTTGGAGTAGTGGCGCACCTTGGAGTAGTGGCGCACCTTGGAGTAGTGGCGCACCTTGGAGTAGTGGCGCACCTTGGAGTAGTCGCGCACCTTGGAGTAGTGGCGCACCTTGGAGTAGTCGCGCACCTTGGAGTAGTGGCGCACCTTGGAGTAGTCGCGCACCTTGGAGTAGTCGCGCACCTTGGAGTAGTCGCGCACCTTGGAGTAGTCGCGCACCTTGGAGTAGTGGCGCACCTTGGAGTAGTGGCGCACCTTGGAGTAGTCGCGCACCTTGGAGTAGTCGCGCACCTTGGAGTAGTCGCGCACCTTGGAGTAGTGACGCACCTTGGAGTAGTGGCGCACCTTGGAGTAGTGGCGCACCTTGGAGTAGTCGCGCACCTTGGAGTAGTGGCGCACCTTGGAGTAGTCGCGCACCTTGGAGTAGTGGCGCACCTTGGAGTAGTGGCGCACCTTGGAGTAGTGGCGCACCTTGGAGTAGTGGCGCACCTTGGAGTAGTCGCGCACCTTGGAGTAGTGGCGCACCTTGGAGTAGTCGCGCACCTTGGAGTAGTGGCGCACCTTGGAGTAGTGGCGCACCTTGGAGTAGTGGCGCACCTTGGAGTAGTGGCGCACCTTGGAGTAGTGGCGCACCTTGGAGTAGTGGCGCACCTTGGAGTAGTGGCGCACCTTGGAGTAGTGGCGCACCTTGGAGTAGTGGCGCACCTTGGAGTAGTGGCGCACCTTGGAGTAGTGGCGCACCTTGGAGTAGTGGCGCACCTTGGAGTAGTGGCGCACCTTGGAGTAGTGGCGCACCTTGGAGTAGTGGCGCACCTTGGAGTAGTGGCGCACCTTGGAGTAGTGGCGCACCTTGGAGTAGTGGCGCACCTTGGAGTAGTGGCGCACCTTGGAGTAGTGGCGCACCTTGGAGTAGTGGCGCACCTTGGAGTAGTGGCGCACCTTGGAGTAGTGGCGCACCTTGGAGTAGTGGCGCACCTTGGAGTAGTGGCGCACCTTGGAGTAGTGGCGCACCTTGGAGTAGTGGCGCACCTTGGAGTAGTGGCGCACCTTGGAGTAGTGGCGCACCTTGGAGTAGTGGCGCACCTTGGAGTAGTGGCGCACCTTGGAGTAGTGGCGCACCTTGGAGTAGTGGCGCACCTTGGAGTAGTCGTGCACCTTGGAGTAGTCGCGCACCTTGGAGTAGTCGCGCACCTTGGAGTAGTGGCGCACCTTGGAGTAGTGGCGCACCTTGGAGTAGTCGCGCACCTTGGAGTAGTGGCGCACCTTGGAGTAGTGGCGCACCTTGGAGTTGTGGCGCACCTTGGAGTAGTCGCGCACCTTGGAGTAGTGGCGCACCTTGGAGTAGTGGCGCACCTTGGAGTAGTGGCGCACCTTGGAGTAGTGGCGCACCTTGGAGTAGTCGCGCACCTTGGAGTAGTCGCGCACCTTGGAGTAGTCGCGCACCTTGGAGTAGTCGCGCACCTTGGAGTAGTCGCGCACCTTGGAGTAGTCGCGCACCTTGGAGTAGTCGCGCACCTTGGAGTAGTGGCGCACCTTGGAGTAGTGGCGCACCTTGGAGTAGTGGCGCACCTTGGAGTAGTGGCGCACCTTGGAGTAGTCGCGCACCTTGGAGTAGTCGCGCACCTTGGAGTAGTGGCGCACCTTGGAGTAGTGGCGCACCTTGGAGTAGTCGCGCACCTTGGAGTAGTCGCGCACCTTGGAGTAGTCGCGCACCTTGGAGTAGTGGCGCACCTTGGAGTAGTGGCGCACCTTGGAGTAGTGGCGCACCTTGGAGTAGTCGCGCACCTTGGAGTAGTGGCGCACCTTGGAGTAGTCGCGCACCTTGGAGTAGTGGCGCACCTTGGAGTAGTGGCGCACCTTGGAGTAGTGGCGCACCTTGGAGTAGTGGCGCACCTTGGAGTAGTGGCGCACCTTGGAGTAGTGGCGCACCTTGGAGTAGTGGCGCACCTTGGAGTAGTGGCGCACCTTGGAGTAGTGGCGCACCTTGGAGTAGTGGCGCACCTTGGAGTAGTGGCGCACCTTGGAGTAGTGGCGCACCTTGGAGTAGTGGCGCACCTTGGAGTAGTGGCGCACCTTGGAGTAGTGGCGCACCTTGGAGTAGTGGCGCACCTTGGAGTAGTGGCGCACCTTGGAGTAGTGGCGCACCTTGGAGTAGTGGCGCACCTTGGAGTAGTGGCGCACCTTGGAGTAGTGGCGCACCTTGGAGTAGTGGCGCACCTTGGAGTAGTGGCGCACCTTGGAGTAGTGGCGCACCTTGGAGTAGTGGCGCACCTTGGAGTAGTGGCGCACCTTGGAGTAGTGGCGCACCTTGGAGTAGTGGCGCACCTTGGAGTAGTGGCGCACCTTGGAGTAGTGGCGCACCTTGGAGTAGTGGCGCACCTTGGAGTAGTGGCGCACCTTGGAGTAGTGGCGCACCTTGGAGTAGTCGTGCACCTTGGAGTAGTCGCGCACCTTGGAGTAGTCGCGCACCTTGGAGTAGTGGCGCACCTTGGAGTAGTGGCGCACCTTGGAGTAGTCGCGCACCTTGGAGTAGTGGCGCACCTTGGAGTAGTGGCGCACCTTGGAGTTGTGGCGCACCTTGGAGTAGTCGCGCACCTTGGAGTAGTGGCGCACCTTGGAGTAGTGGCGCACCTTGGAGTAGTGGCGCACCTTGGAGTAGTGGCGCACCTTGGAGTAGTCGCGCACCTTGGAGTAGTCGCGCACCTTGGAGTAGTCGCGCACCTTGGAGTAGTCGCGCACCTTGGAGTAGTCGCGCACCTTGGAGTAGTCGCGCACCTTGGAGTAGTGGCGCACCTTGGAGTAGTGGCGCACCTTGGAGTAGTGGCGCACCTTGGAGTAGTGGCGCACCTTGGAGTAGTCGCGCACCTTGGAGTAGTCGCGCACCTTGGAGTAGTGGCGCACCTTGGAGTAGTGGCGCACCTTGGAGTAGTCGCGCACCTTGGAGTAGTCGCGCACCTTGGAGTAGTCGCGCACCTTGGAGTAGTGGCGCACCTTGGAGTAGTGGCGCACCTTGGAGTAGTGGCGCACCTTGGAGTAGTCGCGCACCTTGGAGTAGTGGCGCACCTTGGAGTAGTCGCGCACCTTGGAGTAGTGGCGCACCTTGGAGTAGTGGCGCACCTTGGAGTAGTGGCGCACCTTGGAGTAGTGGCGCACCTTGGAGTAGTCGCGCACCTTGGAGTAGTGGCGCACCTTGGAGTAGTCGCGCACCTTGGAGTAGTGGCGCACCTTGGAGTAGTGGCGCACCTTGGAGTAGTGGCGCACCTTGGAGTAGTGGCGCACCTTGGAGTAGTGGCGCACCTTGGAGTAGTGGCGCACCTTGGAGTAGTGGCGCACCTTGGAGTAGTGGCGCACCTTGGAGTAGTGGCGCACCTTGGAGTAGTGGCGCACCTTGGAGTAGTGGCGCACCTTGGAGTAGTGGCGCACCTTGGAGTAGTGGCGCACCTTGGAGTAGTGGCGCACCTTGGAGTAGTGGCGCACCTTGGAGTAGTGGCGCACCTTGGAGTAGTGGCGCACCTTGGAGTAGTGGCGCACCTTGGAGTAGTGGCGCACCTTGGAGTAGTGGCGCACCTTGGAGTAGTGGCGCACCTTGGAGTAGTCGTGCACCTTGGAGCAGTCGCGCACCTTGGAGTAGTCGCGCACCTTGGAGTAGTGGCGCACCTTGGAGTAGTGGCGCACCTTGGAGTAGTCGCGCACCTTGGAGTAGTGGCGCACCTTGGAGTAGTGGCGCACCTTGGAGTTGTGGCGCACCTTGGAGTAGTCGCGCACCTTGGAGTAGTGGCGCACCTTGGAGTAGTGGCGCACCTTGGAGTAGTGGCGCACCTTGGAGTAGTGGCGCACCTTGGAGTAGTCGCGCACCTTGGAGTAGTCGCGCACCTTGGAGTAGTCGCGCACCTTGGAGTAGTCGCGCACCTTGGAGTAGTCGCGCACCTTGGAGTAGTCGCGCACCTTGGAGTAGTCGCGCACCTTGGAGTAGTGGCGCACCTTGGAGTAGTGGCGCACCTTGGAGTAGTGGCGCACCTTGGAGTAGTGGCGCACCTTGGAGTAGTCGCGCACCTTGGAGTAGTCGCGCACCTTGGAGTAGTCGCGCACCTTGGAGTAGTCGCGCACCTTGGAGTAGTCGCGCACCTTGGAGTAGTCGCGCACCTTGGAGTAGTCGCGCACCTTGGAGTAGTCGCGCGGGCGCAGGTAGAAGACGGGGCGGAAGGTGGAGAGGAAGCGGTAGTGCAGGTCCTTGGGGGGGAAGCCCAGCAGCCCCAGGTCCGCCCTGATGGGGGGGGAGGAGGGGGCGCAGGGGTGAGGGAGGGCAGGGGGAGCAGGGGATCAGGGGACAGAGAGGGGGCAATGGATGCAAAGAGGGTAGCTGGGGCGGAAAAGAGGCAGCAGTGGAGAAGGGTGCAGTGGAGAAGGGTGCAGTGGAGACACATACACATGTAAGTCCATTCCAACTGCCAGTGTTGCAATCACCCGAGCGTGTCAAGCTCTGTTGCAATCACCTGAGCGTGTCAAGCTCTGTTGTAATCACCTGAGTGTGTCAAGCTCTGTTGTAATCACCTGAGCGTGTCAAGCTCTGTTGTAATCACCTGAGTGTGTCGATCTCTGTTGTAATCACCTGAGCGTGTCGAGCTCTGTTGTAATCACCTGAGTGTGTCGAGCTCTGTTGCAATCACCTGAGCGTGTCGAGCTCTGTTGCAATCACCTGAGCGTGTCGAGCTCCAGGTTGAAGAGCAGCACCGGCGTGACGGGGGGGAGCTTCTCCTGCCGGGGGGAGGTGGGGGAGGGTAGCAGTGGGGTGACCGAGGGGCATGGAGGGTGGGTGGGGAGTGAGATGAGCATTGAGGAGAGCGAAGAAGCGAGCAGCTAGATGCCAAACGTGAGGCCTCCTTGCGAGGCATCCCTTTACAAGGCCGCAGTGGTAGGCGGACAGTAGATGGAAAAGTGGAACTTCACTCTACAGGAATCAGCACCTACAAGCAGGAATTAACAATTTGGCCACTCGTTTTGGTACCCTCCACGCACTAATGATTCCCCATGTAGAAAAAGAAGCGTGTGACATTGTCAAAAGGTGACTCAGATGTGTCCGTGGTGGATGCAGTGGCGGGCTGGTCAAACATGGCGGACGCATGTGCAGGGGGTGCAAAGAGCAGCGCATGTGCAGGGGGTGCAAAGAGCAGCGCATGTGCAGGGGGTGCAAAGAGCAGCGCATGTGCAGGGGGTGCAAAGAGCAGCGCATGTGCAGGGGGTGCAAAGAGCAGCGCATGTGCAGGGGGTGCAAAGAGCAGCGCATGGGTTGGCAGCCCACCACAAGAGTGGGGGTGAGCGGGAGTTGCTGGGTACGTGGATGGGAGGGTGGAGAGAGGAGGTGGAGAGGGGAATGGGGAGGGGCGAGGGGGGAGGGGCGAGGGGTGAAGGGAGAGGGGCGAGGGGGGGAGAGCAGCGGCACTGACGAGGTAGGCCTGAACGGCGGGCAGCTCCTGGCAGCTGGCGTTGGCGATGATGTACAGATCCGACGGCGTTGCTGCCGCCCACTCGCCTGCCATGCCCGCCACGGGGAAGAGGGCAAGCGGATGGCGATTCAAGTGTGGAGAGGAGGTGGGAGTTGAAGGGCGAGGGAGAGAGCGGAAGGGACAGTGGGCGCAACGCAGCTCACAGCCTTTACAATAGACGAGGCAACGAGAGTAAGGCAGGGCGGGCAGAGGGAAGAGAGAGCAACAGCAAGAGGGTCGTGGAAGGGGGGTGCAGGGTTGCAGGGCCGGGAGAGGAGTAGGTGAAAAAAAAGGCGCACGAACAGCATGTTCTTATCCCTCTCCCACCCCACACCATTCCTCCCTCCTTCCCCCCCCCCCCTTCTGACCCACTGTCCCCAGCACCCGTGCACGCGTGCGCGCACCGGTCTCCTGCCTCCCGAAGTCGAGGTCCAGCGCGTTCTTCAGCGCCGACAAGAACCCGCCCCCTCCTCCTCCACCCGCGCTGCGTGGTTGCAGTGCGCCCGCCTGCCCCGGTGCTGCCACAGGGTCGTCCTCCAAACACCCCAGCGACACCCCGTCCGTCTGCATGGGCCCCAAACCTCACGCGTGATGAGAGGAGTGAGTCACGACTCAACATCACATGGCATGGCATGGCATGGCATGGCATGGCCTGTCACTACTGAATCTGGATGGCTCTGCAGCTGATTGCGTTCTTACGTTTCCGTATGCTCCACCTGCACTGCACCACACTTCATCTACACTCCTCTGATCATGCCGTTTCATCTCACCATGTCGTTTCATCTCGCCATGCCGTTTCATCTCACCATGTCGTTTCATCTCGCCATGCCGTTTCATCTCACCATGCCGTTTCATCTCACCATGTCGTTTCATCTCACCATGCCGTTTCATCTCGCCATGCCGTTTCATCTCGCCTTGCCGTTTCATCTCACCATGTCGTTTCACCTCACCATGTCGTTTCATCTCACCCTGCCATGTCGTTTCATCTCACCCTGCCATGTCGTTTCATCTCACCCTGCCATGTCGTTTCATCTCACCCTGCCATGTCGTTTCATCTCACCATGTCCAGAGCAGCTTTGAAGCGGCGGGAGCAGCGGCGCTTCTCTGGCCCGTCGGGAAGCACCTGAGGGGCCACGGGGAACGAGCGGAGAGGGGAGTTGGGGAGATGAGCGGAGAGGGGGGTAGGGGAGATGAGCGGAGAGGGGGGTAGGGGAGATGAGCGGAGAGGGGGGTAGGGGAGATGAGCGGAGAGGGGGGTAGGGGAGATGAGCGGGGAGGAGTGAGCTGGGGGATACAGGCACAAGGGGGACGAGGTGCAGAGGATGGGAGACGCAGGGGGGATGGTGCAGCAGCGGCGCACATGGCAGGGCGGGCAGGCGGGCGGGCAGGGCTCACGATCTTGGCGGTGGTGGCGGTGGCGCCGTGCAGCCTGCGCACGAGCGCCAGGGCGAGCTGGATGTTGGCCTCTATGTACTCCTCCGATGACCCCTGCCGTGCCGTGCCGTGCCGTGCCGTGCCGTGCCGTGCCGTGCCGTGCCGTGCCGTGCCGTGCCGTGCCGTGCCATGCCATGCCATGCCATGCCATGCCATGCCACACCCGGAGGGGGGTTGGGGGGTTGGAGATGGGCGACAAGGGAGGGAGCGAATGAGGGGCAGGGCCGTGGAGGTGAGTGGCAGCAGAGAGGGAGGGGGGAGTAGAGGGGGGGGGTGGGAAGGAGGGACCTGTTCCATAGCAGGGGTAACTGGTCTGCTTTGGCCAGGGAGTGGATGGATTTTGGCGGGAAACCAGGCTCGGACAGGGGAAATCGCAGAGCGACCCCTATGCAACCGAGCCCGGACCACCTTCGGATGCTCGGAATCTCTGACCGGGTTTAGGCCCATTACTCCCCACTGTACAGTGAACCACAGGCAAAACCGTCCCCCCACTGCTGAACACCTTCTCCAGCAGTCAGAGCACGGGTCTGTAAAACAAAAGGGTAGAGCAATGGGCAAATCGGCCAATCGCACGCTCACAAGGCCCTGACCAGGGCTATTTTTGTGCTTCTCATCTCCAGTGAAGGGTATTTGTTTTCTCGGTTGAGGTGGGTAATTGGTTTTGATGTGTTCTCCTGCTAGTGTACGAGCATTTCATCCCCAGTTCATCTGGACCGGCAGAATGAAACGCCTTTCCGTTTTTAGTTGCGTCGGGTTGGGGATGAAACGCACTGAACCAGACTCCCCCGTTCCCGTGCCGTTAGGCTATCGCACAGGGCCGAGGTGTGGGGTTGGGGTGGTGCCAACACGCGTGTGGTAGGGAGAAATGTAGCACGGCGGGGTTCAAAGGCAGCGTGCCGTAGGTGCGATGAGAGGAGCAGCGAGGCGAGGAAGCAGGGCGAGGGAAGGCAGAAGCGAGGAAGGAAACACGATGAGCAGAGGGTTGAGAAAGAGTGAATGAGAGTTAGGAAAAGGAGCGACAGTAGTAGGAGGAGAAGGAGGAATGAGGATTGGGACAGGATGAACGGGAAGAGAGTGGTGAGGGAGGGGAAGCGAGGAGGGGTTGGGAGGAGAGGGAGAAGGCGGGGGGCATGGCAGCAGGGCTTCACCTCGTAGCCCGCCTTTCCACTTGGCAGTGGGCTGGTGTCATGCTCCCATGCGCATGCACACACATACATGCACACACATACATGCACACACATACATGCACACACATACATGCACACATGCACACACATACATGCACACACATACATGCACACATGCACACACATACATGCACACATGCACACACATACATGCACACATGCGCACACATGCACACACATACATGCACACACATACATGCACACATGCATGCACACACATGCATTCACACATGCAAACACATGCACACACATGCACACACATGCACAAACACGCACACATGCTCGTACGCACACACACACACGCACACACGCACGCACACACATGCACACACACACACACACATGCACACACACACACACATGCACACACACACACACACATGCACACACATACATGCACACACACGCACACATGCACACGCACACATGCATACACACATACATGCACACACACGCACACATGCACACGCACACATGCATACACACATACATGCACACACACGCACATGCACACACACGCACACACGCACGCACACACATGCACATGCACACACACACACACACACACACACGCACACACACACACACACGCACACACACACACACACACACGCACACACACACACACACAAGCGCACAGACACACAGGGGTTTGCATGAGGGTGATGGGAGAGCGGGTGATGGGAGAGCGGGTGATGGAACATGGTGGTGATGCCATGGAACATGGTGGTGATGCCATGGAACATAGTGGTGATGCCATGGAACATGGTGGTGATGCCATGGAACATGGTGGTGATGCCATGGAACATAGTGGTGATGCCATGGAACATAGTGGTGATGCCATGGAACATGGTGGTGATGCCATGGAACATGGTGGTGATGCCATGGAACATGGTGGTGATGCCATGGAACATGGTGGTGATGTCATGGAACATGGTGGTGATGCCATGGAACATGGTGGTGATGTCATGGAACATGGTGGTGATGTCATGGAACATGGTGGTGATGCCATGGAACATGGTGGTGATGCCATGGAACATGGTGGTGATGCCATGGAACATAGTGGTGATGCCATGGAACATGGTGGTGATGCCATGGAACATGGTGGTGATGCCATGGAACATGGTGGTGATGCCATGGAACATGGTGGTGATGTCATGGAACATGGTGGTGATGCCATGGAACATGGTGGTGATGTCATGGAACATGGTGGTGATGTCATGGAACATGGTGGTGATGCCATGGAACATGGTGGTAATGCCATGGAACATGGTGGTGATGCCATGGAACATGGTGGTGATGCCATGGAACATAGTGGTGATGCCATGGAACATGGTGGTGATGCCATGGAACATGGTGGTGATGCCATGGAACATGGTGGTGATGTCATGGAACATGGTGGGAAAGGGGTGGCGGGCGGGTGAGCAGCGTGAGGTGGAGGGGGTGGGGTGGGCGGGGGACTGACGGGAAGTCGACTTCGATGCGCGTGAGGCCGTCCGCCAACGCCGTCTGCACGGCGCGAGATGCGTCTGGCGGGGGACGGGCGCAACGGGGGATGCGGGAGGTGGGCGCGGGTGAGGTTGCAGAAGCGGATTCCCACGTTGGAGAGGGGGAACAGAGGTGGAGGGGAACAAGCAGCGAGGCGCAGTGAGCCATGGCGGGGAGTGGCCTCGCACATGGCGGGGAGTGGCCTCGCACATGGCGGGGAGTGGCCTCGCACATGGCGGGGAGTGGCCGCGCACATGGCGGCACATCACACCACGGAGAGCGCAGCATGCGAGGGCGGCCGTCACACGTTACAGGGTTACCACACGCGTCCGGTGGCCCCTCGGTTCGAGCATTCGAGCTAACCGCGACCGAGGAGGCGTTGCAGCCACGCGCCACGGTGATGCGCCACGCAGGGGCGATGGGCGGCGGCCGTACTGAAATCGATAGCGTGACCATCGCGCAATTCGTTCGCCCAAAAATATCCCGCGTATTTCAAGTACTCGATACAGACTGAAATGTACGTAGCACTAGCGCACTAAGAGCAGACTCGAAACGCAGGTAAGGCCAGCGTCGGCTCAAAGCGTCGGCGCAGGATTTTGCTCGGCGGGGGTCGCACGGACCTGCGACGAGCTCGTCGTACGACCGCGGCTTGTACTCCGCCACGCCCGCCGCCGGATCCGCTTCTGCCGCCGCCGCCGCGCGCACGACTCGTGCTGCATTCGCGCTACTGCGCGACTCGTTGCGACGAACCAGCGAGGCATTCTTTGTCAAGCGCGCTCTCCGCGTTGGAAGGGCGCGCGCCGGCAACGCCTTGTCGCTGCTGCTCCCCCCCAGTTGCGCTTGGCGCGCTTGCAGCCCGGCGCTGGAGTGTGCGACGGTAACGGCGTGCGCCATCACGGCAGGCGATGCGGCTCGCACGACGCGGAGAAACAACGCCGACTGACTCGCTGGCAGCCGCGAAAGATTGGTGGCGATGATGATGAATCGCTGGGGAGAAAGCAAATGCGACAGAGCTGCCTTTGTTGGGCCAAGCAGCGGTGAATCGACGTTGGTGCGACACAATCGAGGCAGGGGCAGGAACCTGGAGCTCGTGACGTGGCGCTTGACGTGGTGAAATTGGAGAGACTGACAGGTGGCACGTGGAGGCTGTAGGCGAAGTGGCAGAACCGTTCAAAGTCGCGAACGTAACGAGTTTCGACCCATCAATTGACGGCGTATCTGTTCGAGCCCTGGCCGGTCGTTGGCGATGTGCCACGCCCTAAAGAAGTTCAGGGCTCGAATTGGCACCATACTGAAAACAAACTGTATGTTACCGAAACGTTGTACCACATCCCCCCAAATTGGAGTGTGCTGCAACACTTCATGGGAAGACACCACCAACACAAGTCTGTACAGTCGCAATGCAAACAATAAAAGAGGAACGAATTCGTAAGCACCAATCACATCCGCATGCGGCTTGGAATACCGTCAATTCACGACTATTTGTTTTCGCTTTCGTGCTCGTAAACCACTCGGATCATCGACCAGTAACCAGACACTGCTCGACTTCTCTCACGCCAAGCCGAACCCGAAGTTACACGCCCTAAACTTCCAACCTAACAGAATATCAAACCAAACCCGCAGAACCTATTTCTCATACCTGTCTCCACATCTACCTGCGCCAGTCCCCCATTTCAGCCGTGCCCGCGTCAACCGTCTCGTACGTAGACCGCCGTTCGTCTGTGACCTGTCCTCTCAGCAGAGGGGGCTGAACTCGCGTGCCGTCACTTGCTGCGCGCCGATCGCACTCTCGCTGGTCCGCCATGGCACACGCGGCTCGCATCGCGCGGCAGGCCGTGCAGGCCGCGACGAGCGCGCGCGTGCGATTCTCCACGGAGGCGGCGAAAGCCTCGCGCGAGACGCTGGTGAGACGAGGGGCGGGTGGGGCGAGCAGCGGGTGAGCCCCACACCGAGCTGAGCGTAGCCGTCGATCTTACCGCGTCTCGCCTTGTGGGCGGTCGTCGATCTTTTCCATGCTGCCATCTCCCTCCCACTGCTGTAGCCCCCCCTGGCCGCGCGGTCCACCTTGGGTGCGCGAGGTGCACGACGCGAGGCGCGCTTGCCGCTCCACACTTGTCCACCTCAGCCGCATTATTTAGCGTTCTGCGCTCGGAAACCGCCCTCCGTCTTGGCATCTCGCTCGCTGGCCGCCCGTCACAAAGCCCCATCGCTGTCGTGCCATTGTCCCCCCTCCCGCCGCCTGCCCTCTTCCTCTCTCTCCGACGCTCGTCCGTCCCTTCCCCCCCCACCTTCCCCCCGTCCCCAGCTGGTGGAGGACGACGCGGCGCTGCGCAAGTACAACCCGCAGAAGGCCGCCATGGCCGCCTGCAACACCGTTGGTAACGCCGTCACGGCGCTCGTGCTCGCAGGTACTGCACCGTGATGACGTGGCAGCAGCCCTCAGCACGTGGCTGCCTGATCACGTGGCAGGCCGATTTGATATTCATGCTTGTCGTGCCGGGTGCGAGCATCATTCGCCGGCCTATGAGCTTGTCTGTGCAGGTCATTGCAAGCTGGCATTGCAGCAAGAGCACCGGCATTGAGAAACGCATCCCACCGCACAGCGTTTGTTGCTGGCGTGAATCGCCAGTGCTGTGCGTGCCGCCTTCCATGCTGTGCTGCCACGTTCCCTCTCCCACTCCCTCACACTCGTGTGCCCCTCCCTCCCTCCCTCCCTCCCTGCGTGCATGCATGGCAGCGGCGGCCGTGGACCTGTCGTACCGCGTCATGAACGCGCGCACGGACCAGTGAGCCCGTCTGCGCTGCGCCACCTGAGGCCGTGCCACACGGCAGGTGCGGCACGGTGGTGATGCCCCCTGCATGGGCTGTGTGGCCGTGCCGTGCCATGCCAGACCATGCCATGCCATATGCACTGAGATTGCAACAAGACTTGTGGTGGCATGCATTACGATGCACAGGGCCGTCCTCCACTCACTACCTCTCGTCATGTGCCTCAACGCCACTGCCACCTCATGCCCCAGCGCCACTGCCTTCCCCGCTTCCCTAACCATTCATCCTCTCCACCCCGCCTGCTACCCATCCGCCCCTGACTTCTCCCCCTCGCACTCTTCCCACCCACCATGTCATGTCACCTCGAAGCCAGCACCATCACCCGCATCGCCGTGCTTGCCTCCACCACTATCATGCTCTCAACTCCACTGGCCGCTGTGATGCACATGGATGGCTCATACAATCACCAGCTAATTTCTGTGTATGGCTAGGATTCCTGGAATGTTGGCTGTGTACAGCAGTGTGCCTATCAAAACTGTGTTCAAAGAGTGTAGTAAGGAAAGTTGAAATGGCATCAGCAAATTGTGAAATGGAATATACAGGTTTGCTACCCAACCGAAGAAGAAAACCTCCACGTATTATGACCTTCATGAGCACGCTCTAAAGCGAACCTGTCGTTTAGTTCAATCCCAGCTGCAGCCTACGATTGGTTAGTCAAAGCAATCTGGTTGCGCTACGTGGCGACATTCACCACTCCCGGCGCTCCTCGATTCTCTCGCCTCTACCGCCCACAGGGAGGCGAAGGGACAGGCCAGGCAGGCACCCAGCTGAAACAGAAGAGCTTCATTTCAGAGGGCGGCGGTTTCAATGAGTCAGGCGCGCTGTCGCGACGAGGTCCGCGCGAGCTGCGATGCGGAAGGCGGTGGTGACGAAGAGGGCTCTAGACGCTGCGAAAATGTGATCTCGCCGCGCCAGCTTCTTGCGTTCCTTCGTAGTTGTTCCACGCCGTTGGCGAGCTCTGGTGAAATTGTTGGCGAAAGCGCGGAGAAGGCGAGGCGAAGAATGGTTGAAACGTTTCTTGGCGCGCGAGAGGCGCGGGCGAGCGTTACGAGGCGCACGCGTGCTACGGGCGAATCGCGGATGAACCGGATAGTAAGCACGCGGCACGGGCAGAATGGAGGTGGGAGAGGCGGGTACCCGTGTGAGTGGGGTGCTAGTGCGGGTGCGGGTGGTGACGCGGAATGGCTCGGCGGCCGCAGCAGCGACGAGGAGGCGAGCAGCGGCGAGGAGGCGCGCGACGAGGCGCAGCTGGGCGAGCTGCTCCCCGTGGCCGGCGCCGAGTGGCTCGCGGACGCGCCGCCGGCGGAAGTAGGGCAGGCGGAAACTGGTGAGGCGGATACTAGGCAGGCGGAAATGGGTCGGGCGGAAAGCAGGGGGGCGGAAACGGGGCCAGCTGAAACGGGGCAGGCGGAAACGGGGCAGGCGGAAACGAGGGGAGCGGAAACGAGGGGGACGGAAACGAGGGGAGCGGAGGTGGAGATGGGAAGGGCGGAGGAGGCGCAAGGAGCGAGTGGAGCTGCTGATGCCCATGGCGCGCCGTCGGCACTGGCGACGCCGCACCCTGCACGTGCTCCCGCTGGTGCCACCGCGGCAGGCGAGGCGCGCACAGCGCCCGCGCAAGTGGAGGCGACTGGCGGAGGGGCGGGGCTGTCGCTGCCTGCCCCCGGCGAGAGCGCGCTCGCTGCCGCGCGGGAAGGGGAAGAGGAACGGGGGGCAGGGGAAGGAGAAGGGGAAAGGGGGAAAGGGAAAGGGGATGAGAAAAAAGTGGAAGGGGAAGGAGAGGGAGGGGAAGTGAAGGGAGGGGAAAGGGAGAAGGTGGGCGGCTATGAGGGGAGGCGGGGCGAGCAGCGCGTTGGCAGTGATGGCGAGGCGGGATTCCGCGCGCGCCACCTGCTGGCGCTGCTCAAGGCCGCCGCTGCTGCTGGCGGGCGCTGCTCGCTGCCCGTGAGAGGCGCTGGCGACGCGGGTGACAGCGGCATCGCGGGCGAGGGCGCAGGCGGAGAGGGCGGAGGTGGGGGCGAGCAGCAGCGGATGGTGGCGGCGTTCCTGCGCGCGCGCGAGGCAGGCGCGGCCGTGGCGAGTGGGAGAGGGGGGCGAGGCGAGGAGTGGGCGCGCAGGAGGCAGAGGCGCGCAGGCAGGGGCGGGCGCGTGGGGAGGGGGCGCTGGCAGGGGAGGGGCGCGAGGCGAGAGCGGGAAGCAGGCAGGGGAGGGGAAGTGGAAGGGGGGAGTGGAATGGTTGAAGGCGACGAGGAGGGGCGAGCAGGGGGAGATGGTGACGTGCATGGCAGTGGTCGGGGCAGCAGCGACAGGGAGGGCGAGTCGAGCGACGGGCTGGAGGAGCTGCTGGCTGTGGCGGGGTGGGACCGCTGCGAGGACGCCCAGGGGCATGCGGAGGGGCAGCAGCAGGAGGAGGCGCGTGGTGGTGCAGCGAGCATGGTGGCGGTGCTGCCCCGGCTGGCCCGCGTGCAGCACCGCGCTGAGTGGGCACCCGACTCGGTGAGTGGCGCGCTGTGTGCCCGCTGCCCGCTGCCCGCTGCTTGCTGGTGTCGTTGACATGCGCGTGGTGTGGCGAGGAGCGTGTGGCGAGGAGCGTGTGGCGAGGAGCGTGTGGCGAGGAGCGTGTGGCGAGGAGCGTATGAAGAGGAGCGTGTGAAGAGGAGCGTGTGAAGAGGAGCGTGTGAAGAGGAGCGTGTGAAGAGGAGCGTGTGAAGAGGAGCGTGTGAAGAGGAGCGTGTGAAGAGGAGCGTGTGAAGAGGAGCGTGTGGTGAGGAGCGTATGAAGAGGAGCGTGTGAAGAGGAGCGTGTGAAGAGGAGCGTGTGAAGAGGAGCGTGTGAAGAGGAGCGTGTGAAGAGGAGCGTGTGAAGAGGAGCGTGTGAAGAGGAGCGTGTGAATAGGAGCGTGTGAAGAGGAGCGTGTGAAGAGGAGCGTGTGAAGAGGAGCGTGTGAAGAGGAGCGTGTGAAGAGGAGCGTGTGAAGAGGAGCGTGTGAAGAGGAGCGTGTGAAGAGGAGCGTGTGAAGAGGAGCGTGTGAAGAGGAGCGTGTGAAGAGGAGCGTGTGAAGAGGAGCGTGTGAAGAGGAGCGTGTGAAGAGGAGCGTGTGAAGAGGAGCGTGTGGGGGATAAAAAGGACGACAGTGAGTGATGACGTTGCAATGGAGGGCAGTGGGAGGAGGTGCGGTGAGGTGAGGTGATTGTGGCACATGAGGTGATTGTGGCACATGAGGTGGAGTGAATCTGATTTATTAGTTTGTGGAGAAGAGCATGTGCTGCCATGGCACTGTGGTGGTGCTCATTCCACACTTGTGGCATCTCCCTGCATCCACACCCTCTGAGCCCTCCTCATTCATCATGCTTCTCCGCATGCTCAAAACCCCCTCCCGCGAACACCCTCTCCCCTCTCACCACTCCCCGTCAGGCGTGCACCCTCCTTGCCGCCACCTACATCGCTCCCCATGCCTCTGCGCCTGCTGGCGCGGCGAGGGGGCAGGTAGAGCGTGCGGATGCACTCGTGCTGCGCCGCCGCGACCGGCAGGCCAGCGAGTTGCGGCGGAGGAGCAGGCTGGCCGCGGCAGCTGAGGCTGCAGCGGCGGCACGGAGGGCGGCGGGCGGTGCGGCGCACTCACGTGACGGACTGAGAGAGAGACGGCAGCGGGAGCGGGAGGAGAGGGTGCGGAGGCGAGCAGGGGGACAGGGAGGGGAGAAGAAGGCGGCGCTTGATGTGCGTGGCAGGGCGATGGATGCGCGTGGCAGGGCGATGGATGCAGGTGCGGAGGAGGGCGGCATGGGGTTGGCAGGCGAAGGCGGCAGGCGCGGTGTGACGCGTGCGGGCGCACTGCATGGTGGGCGCATGCACTGGCGTGAGCGACAACGCGGACAGGGAGGGGCGGAGGGTGGTGAGGGTGTGAGGCGGACAAGAGGGAGAGGGAATGGGAGTGTGCGGGTGATTGAGCAAGTGGTGAGGGAAGAGGCTGGGGTGAGTGAGAGCGAGTCCGATGGGCTGGAGGGGGAGATGAAGGAAGAGGTGGAGGAGGGAAGAAAGAGATTGAGGCAGAGGGGGAGTGAGGGCGGTGGGGGGAGGACGAGACAGGAGCGGAAAGGGCGAGGTGGTGTGAGGGGAAGAAGGGCAGATGAGCGAGCAGGTGTGGAGGGCTGCAGGGACGTGGAGAGCGTGAGTGAGGCAGGGAGTGGTGGCGAGGAGAGGGTCAGCAGGAAGGGAACACTAGGAGATACGGGTAGTGAGAAGGGACGGGTAAGTGAGGAGAGGGGAAGAGCGGGGAGAAGTGAGGAGGAGCGGGCGAGAGATGGAGATGTGAGGGGCAGGCCCGTTGACTCGGGGTCGCGTCCTCCCCGGCAGCCCGTGAGGGATGTGGCAGGCAAGTTCGCTGCATGCAGTGCGGTGGCGGAGAAGGGAGGGAGGAAGAAGAGAAGGAGAGGCCAAGACGAGGAACGAGGTGTGGACGTGCAAGGCGGAGTGGAAGGCGGAGTGGGAGTGCAGCGAGGAGAGGTGCAGGGGAGTGGTGGTGGTGAGGGGGGCGTGCACGTGCAGGGCGCAGAGCGGGTAGAGAGGAGAGGCGCGGGAGTCCCTGTGACTCCCCAACAGGTGGAGGTGAAGCGACGCAGAGTGGTTGTGGCAGCAGCGGTAAGACCACCAGCACAACCTGCACAAGCACCACCAGTAGTAGCAGCGAGAACAGAGTCTGCAGCAGCAGCAGCAGCAGCAGCACCAGCAGCACCAGCAGCAGCAGCTGCACCAACACCATCAGCAGCAGCAGCTGCAGCAGTGGCAGCAACACCACCACCAGCGGCAGCAGTGGCAGAGGGTGAGGCAGCAGCAGGGGTGGCAGTGGGAAGTGGTGGTGGCGGTGCAGCGGAGGCGGGCTCGTCCCTGCGGGGCACGGTGCGGGGGGGGCTGCGGGCCATGGGGCTGTACGAGGGCAAGCGCGGCATCAAGGCGGAGCTGCGGCACCAGCAGAGGGGCGTGGCAGCCAGTGCCATGCGCGCCGTGCAGGAGAGCAGACGGGAGGAGGAGCGCGCAGTGCGGGCCATGTGCGCCGTGGAAGCGGCGCAGGTGGCGCGGGTGGCGGCGGTGCAGGCGGAGTGTGACGCGCGCATCAATGCCTTCATGCACCAGCTCTTCCGCGACATGAGCACTCTGTGACCCGTGCTGCCGTGATGGCGCTGGTGCAGCGTGTGGAACGTTGAGTGAGAATGCGGTGACTGTCTGAAGGTCCTTGCACTGCGCTCCAGTACAGTGCAACGAGGCAAACAATATTTTGGCGGAGAGCCTCTCTGCACACTTTGGGTCTGCACGGTTTATGCTGTGGGTGTGTGTGTGGATAGTGAGTGAAAATGCGGTAGTGTGTTTGAGGAACATCCTTGGACCGCGGTTATAATGGCACTAGCATTTACAGGGCTAAAATGCAATGCAGCAGGCGTCATGGTTGTGTGATGGTTAGACTGGACTCTTGGGAGGAATGTTACTCCGTTAGTCAACATCCATCCAACAGCTCAAAGAATTACAGCCTACGAGTTGTGCTTCTTGGACTGGTGAGATATTTACAATGTGGGCCACGCTTGTGCAAGTGTGGCAGCACCATGCCAAGCAAGAGGCACCTTCAGGCACGGCAATTCACAAGAGAGGCAACGCCGTGCATCGGCTGCTTCATGCATGGAGTGCAGAGAATTCCATGGGCTCTGTCAGCCAGGTGAGCATGGGAGAATGCACTCATGCACAACACAAGGCAGCTAATCAAGTGAGCAGGAATCATGGCAGTCCCGTGCATCAACAGCACGGGCAGCTTTGTCATGGGCGGGGCATGAGGGGTGGGGCGAGGCAGATGGAGGCGTGGGGGTGGGGCGAGGCAGATGGAGGCGTGGGGGAGGTGCAGCAGCAGGTAGGCGTGGGGGAGGTGCAGCAGGAGGTTGGTGAGCCACAGCGGGTGGCGGCGAGCGGAGACAGTCAAGGGAGGAGGCGAGGAGACTGTCAGAGAGGGGCTGCGACTGTCAGAGAGGGGCTGTGACTGTCAGAGAGGGGCTGCGACTGTCAGAGAGGGGCTGCGACTGTCAGAGAGGGGCTGCGACTGTCAGAGAGGGGCTGCGGGGAAGCCAGGGGCGGGATCAGCAGGAGGGTAGCCGAACACAGGGCGCTGGCACCTCTGTGGGGGGCAAAAGAGGGTGGGGGGGAGGGGGGGTGGGTGACGAGCAGGTATGAGAGTGTGGGCGCACGTGCATGTGTGTGGGAGTGCGTAAGCGGTGGAGGTTGCAAGGGGTGTGAGGAGAGTGTAAGCCTCCTCTCATTCAACTGTGGAATGCATGGGAGTGGCGCGCGAGGGGATGTGGCAAAAGAGGGCGACAGCAACACGAGAGTGACAGTGCAGCGGCGGGATGAGGCGTACCTCGTGCAGCGGCGGGATGAGGCGTACCTCGTGCAGCGGCGGGATGAGGCGTACCTCGTGCAGCGGCGGGATGAGGCGTACCTCGTGCAGCGGCGGGATGAGGCGTACCTCGTGCAGCGGCGGGATGAGGCGTACCTCGTGCAGCGGCGGGATGAGGCGTACCTCGTGCAGCGGCGGGATGAGGCGTACCTCGTGCAGCTGCGGGATGAGGCGTACCTCGTGCAGCTGCGGGATGAGGCGTACCTCGTGCAGCTGCGGGATGAGGCGTACCTCGTGCAGCTGCGGGATGAGGCGTACCTCGTGCAGCTGCGGGATGCAGCAGGGCAGGCAGGTGAGCGGCCAGCAGAAGATGAACGCCACGATCGCCGCCAGCCACCCCACGCCGCTCAGCGTCGCCGTCGCACAGCACCCCGTCTGGTGGGGCGAAGGGGAGAAAAGGGATGGCGCGCCAGGCATAAGTGAGGAGAGGGAGAAAGGGGAACGTATTATGCGGGCGAGCATGGGGAGGGTGGGAGGTGGTGCTGTGATGACGGCGAGGTGGGCCGTCCACTCTTGCATGCACTAGGTGGGCCGTCCACTCTTGCATGCACTAGGTGGGCGAGTTCATGCGAACGCGTCTAATCGATTCAAACGACTCAAACGCACCAATGACTTGATCCTAGGAAATGAGAAGCCGGCGGGTGGGTGACGCGCGACTCACAGGCGGCGCGCAGGTCTCGTAGCCGAGGATGACCATATCCGGCGAGGGCGGCACCCGCGGCGGCAGCATGTAGAGCCCGGGGATGGGCGCCGGCGAGAACACGGGGAACTCGCCGCCGCTCGCCCCGTGCGCCACCACCACCACGGCGGACGGGCAGCCCGGGGGAGGCGGGAACTGCGGCGGATACGCCCCGCGCGCGGGGGGGTGGTGCGGGTGGTGGGCGTACTGAAAGGCGGGTAGGCCGGAGGCCGGCGCGTGGCTCGCGGCGGCATCTGCGCCGCCGTGCGAGGGAGCTTCGGACGACTCGCTCTGTGGCTTAAGCGGCGTGGAATCCGACGGACCTGCTAGACAACGCACACGAGAGAGACGGACGTAAACGGAAACAGTTAACGTGACGACACGTTGACAGAATTGTTGTCCCGTTTAACAAGAGACGGAAGCGCGCGATTGGAGCGAAATGATGAGTGGCGATGCTTCACGCGGATAGCTATCGACGGCTGTCCGCGTACCTTCGGGAACGAAACCCATGTTGACTCGATCTGCGGACAAGCGACGCGCAAGCACGTGGAGGACCGTTGGGCGACGCGCAAGCAGGTGGAGGACCGTTGGGCGGTCGGCGTGTGAGAACAGCAGGAACGTCTGTGATAGGGGCTGTATGCACGGCGAGGTCGTTGTTGGTATTTGCTACGCGTCTGTCAGGGGAATTGTATTAGTCCGCTACTACATGTACAACATATACACAAGCTGTCAGTACTAGGAACGCCACTCGCTAGTAATCTGGGAAATCCCCAGGTTGGGATGAAGGAGGTATGCTGGGTGCTGTGCTGGCGTCAGACTGCCGTCATGCTGGCGTAAGCGTTGCATGCATCAAAGCAGAAGCATACGCCGCGATTGGCGGAATGGTGACAGGTGAGCGAGTTTGCGCGTAGCAACTGGTGCCGCGAAAGTTACTCGAAGTCGACGGGGGAGCGGAGATGGGGTGAGCGGGGAGAGCGGCTTGAGGGGAGCGCGCAATTGGGCTGAAGGCGCACGGCAGGAGGATGAAGGGGTGTTGCGTGCGGTGCACGCCGCGATATTCACCATGTTATAAAACTGTGAAGGAAGCGAGTGCACAGAGTTGTCAATAACGAAAATGATTATTACAACATTTCATCATAAATATGAGAACTTACCAAAATACACATTCTCCTTTCTTGGCAAAGTCGGCACGGTAAATTCTCCGCTCTAGCTGCAGGGGTGGCCCTAACCGAACCTTGCACTTTACCTGGGTTCCTCAAGTGAAGATCCTATGGTATGGTGGTACATGAAGATAACGACTTCAAAAAACCTACATACTTTAGTTACCTAACAACGTCCGGGACTCTTCAAAGTCTGTTCCTTTACCATCATCCAGGTCATAGGCAGGGTACTCTAATCTACAGTACCACCGGACCACCCACTCTACACCCGCACCTACAGCCATCCCCACAGCGGAAAACCCTACAGCAATCAGATAGGGAGGATAATCGTACGCATCTAGAAACGTCCGAGCCAAAGACTCAACAAAGGTCTCCCCGGGGCGCTGTTGTGACTTGGCCCAGACCACAAGGGCGAGAAGGCCAGAGGCGCAGCCAGTTGCAGAAGATGCAGGGGTGATGCAGACACGGGAGAGGGGGCCTTGCAGCACGCCGAGCAGCAGAGGCAGGAAGGACGTGGTGTTGATGAGGTTCACGAGGAGGAAGAGCTGTAGCACGTTGAAGCCTTGTAGCGAGACGAGCAGTGGCGGTATATTGAGGATGAGAACGAGGGCTCGGATAGAGGAGATGGTGAGGCCAGGCCCATGGTGGGGAGGGGCTAAGGCGGATGGGACGGGATCAGGATGAGTGGCAGAGGCAGGTGGCGCGTGCACCGTGGTAGCTCCAGCAAGAAGAGGGCAGGCAGTGGGAAAGGAGGAAGGAGTTAGCAAGGTGCGGTGAACGAGGGGAAATGGGTCCGTGTGTTGAGGTTGAGATGCCTCTCTCGCACCACCTCCTGCCTCCACATGCTCCGTGCACTGCACCTGTGTCAGCCTCGCCTCCTCCTGCCGCTGCACGCTGCCCTGCCCGCCCTCTTTATCGTGCACGCGGCGCTTGCTGCTGGCAGAGCAGGAGGGGTGGGCGAGCAGGAGGGCGGCGACGGCGTCAACGGTGGCGTTCTGCAGCGAGTCCACAGCGGACTCGCTCATGGTGACGGCCAGCAGCGCCACCGCCACCAGCGCCCATGGGTGCCCGCGGAACAGCGAGAAGAGGATGGTGTTGCCGCTGTCGTCCGGGCCTTCCGGCTCGTACACACCGCTCCACGCTGCTAGCAGACCTACGACGGATGGGGCAGAGATGGTTGGGAGAGGCAAGCATGAGGAGAGGAGTGCGCGTGACCACTGCATGGCAAAACAGCCTGCGCGGTGCGGGAGACCAGACCCGGCAGTACAAGGCAGCAATGCAAAGAAATAGGGATGTGGCAATAGCAGCAGGTGCATGGCAGCACATGGCAGCAGGTGCCAGCAGGGTGGCGGCAGCAGTGCTCTCACCGGCGAAGCCCAGCAGCCCCACGACGGCCGTGATGGCACCTGCTCCCAGCGCTGCTCCCCCCAGCAGCGCCGCCGCGCTCGCTGACGCCCAGCAGCTGGGAGGGGCGGGGAGAGCAACGTGCGAGAGGAGGGGGGTAGCCCGGAGAGATGCATGAGAGGAGAGACAGGAGAGAGACACAAGACAAGAGACAGGAGGGGAAAAGAGAGATAAGATGGTGAGGAATTGAAGCAGTGGCAGGTGGGTGAGAACCCACATTCCTCATTCACGTTCATTGAATCACGTCAGCCTACTACTGTTCAGTGCTGCAATTCGACTGCACGTGCCGCAAACACGGCCCTCACCACTGCCACATGGCTCTGACCGCATCTCACCACATCTCACCGCTGCCACATGGCCTCGTTGAAGAGCGTGGTGGCGAGCAGCGAGAGCGGCATGAAGAGCACCGCCTCCAACCCCCGCGGGTTCGACCACCCCAGGGCAGGGGGCAGCGGTGGGAGTGGCGAGGGGAAGTTGAGGAGCACGTGTGCCGTGAGCAGTGCTGTGAAGATTAGACTCGCCAGGGCCTGCTGGGGGGGAGTGGGGGGGAGGGCAGGAGGGAGAGAGGTTTGGGCAAGAGGAATGGATGGATGGAGGATAACGGGAAGGTGACGAGGAGGAGGCCGACAGAGGAGGCAGTGTAAATGAAGAGTGAATGAGTGGAGGGGCGGGGAGGGGGTGCGGTGGAGGGGAGGGCACAATGGACAGAGCAAGTGAGCCAAGTAAGAAGCAGAGCAGTGGGCGGGCGGCGTGCCTGGCATTGGTCGGTGACGATGGAGACGTAGAGCCCGCCGGCAGCGGTGTAGAGCATGGCGGTGGCGGCTGTGAGCATGACGATGGGCAGGCGGGGTGCGTGCAGCAGGCGGTGGAAGAGGTCGCCCAGCGCCGTGTACTCCGCCGCCATCGCCACCCCCATGTTGCCCACCGCCAACAGTGATATGTACACCGCGAACGGGCTGCCGTGATGTTGTTGGGTGCAGAGAGATAGGGGGGGGAGGGAAAGTGAAGGCAGGAAACGCATGGTGTGCGTTGAGGTGGCAGCACAGCACGCCCCGTCTGTGACTGCTGTGCACATGCCACCGTGCTGACGACACGAGGCGCGCCACAGGACAGACGGAAGTGTGCAGCGGCACCAAGTGGTGGGCGGGAGTGTTGGAGGAGGGAGAGCGAGAGCAGCATGCAGCGGGTGGAGTGATGGCGGCCACAGCAGAGCAACGCCACACACAGGCCGGACGCACTGAGAACGGGGCATCACCTGGGGCTCGGAGCCAAAAGCGTTCGACCTCTGCCCCTTGTGCCCCTCTCCCTCCCTCACAGCCCGGAGCCATGGGCGCGCCATGGCATGGGCGAGGCGGTCACCAGTGTTGCCTTGCCATGGACGTGCTCCACTCCACTCCACCTCACGGGCGGGATCCCCCCCACACACTCGCCCTCCCACCCACGCACCACACGCCGCATCTCGCTCGCATGTGTTCAAACCCAAAACCCTCCTTCCTACCCCTTCCCCTCCGTGGGAGTTGAAGCAGCGCCGTGCAGCACTCACAGGCCGAAGCGGCGGCGCACATAGTCGGCCATGGACACCACGTTCGGCACGAGGCGGTGCACGGCGGCGCCCACGCACGCCACGAGCAGCACGGGCAGCCCCGCGCACACCGCGTACACGAGCGTGCCCATGGCGCCCGCCGTCAGGCAGTAGCTGGGCGGCCCAAACAGCGCCCACGACCCCATCGCCGACGCGAAGAACGACCTGCGCGCGGTGGAGAGCGGTGGAGAAAGGTGTGAATGGAGGGGCAGAGCAACTGCGCGCAGGAGCTGACGGACGGGGCGGAGAGGAAGGGCAGCGGATGGACGGTACGGGGAGATCATGCAGCGCGGAGAGGGGCGCGGAGGGCAGCGGTGGGAGGTGAGAGGTGGGTGGTGTGAGGCAGCGCACGACGGTCGCGCGGGAGAGCGTGAGAAGGGGTAGCCTTCCCTGCGACGCACCATGCGACCATGGACGTCTTGACGGATCGGCGCGCAGTGAGGAAGAAATCAGGCGAGTCGGGCCCTCCCTGCAGCTTCTCCCGGTGCGCCGCATACGCGCACGCGCCCAGGCCGAACGCTAATACCACCGCCACGGCGAGCGTGTACGCGATATAAGAAAATTCCTCCATGGCTTGTAACGAAGGTTCCCTCCATCCCAAAAATCCTAACACCGAAGTGGCGTCGAAAGCGAGGGATACCATGAAGCGTGGGGTAACCCCACTTCCCAGTTCCCTCAAAGAACCCCGCGGGTTACCGAGGGTAAGCGACAGCAGCGAAATGGTAATGCGCTCGCGTTGAGTTTCGGGAAAACAATTGTGCCCAATCAGGCTAGAGCTATGTTCGTTGCTGGACCGCACATTGCGCTGTAACTGGTTACCATTCAGCTTTAATGACTACAGCATTGAACTCGCCTCATTAAGACGAACAGTGTTCATCCGACGAACATTGTACCGACCTTGAATCTTAAGTTGCTGTTATCAAACCTAACAAAGCTCAAGGCTGACCAAGCATGCGCGTCAACATCAATGGCTAACCAAGGAGACAATAACAAGGTTTCAACCGATTGGTTCGCAGGATCACGGCAATCGCTATCTAAGTTTTTTCCCAAGGTTCTGACTTCGGCTCACCATCATCTGCAATAAGAGCAGTGGCTAGCGTCCCAGCGGAGAAAACTATTTAACAGTTCGGTGCTCAGACATCCGGCAAATCAGGCAATCAGTGCCTTATTCATCAACTCTCAGCCGGTCTCAAGTCATCATTGCACAATGCCTCGTGCACCTGCCAAGGGGAAACAAGTGGTGGAGGAAGCTCCAGTTAAAGATGTGCCTGACGTCACGCCAGCTTCTCCTGTGCTCCAGACGGAGACCACCAGTGGTGCCGGTGAGACCTCAACGAAGCCAACGCTACCGCCAGCGACTGCAGGGAGCTCTGGGCTGACACCTGCAGAGAAAGCAACAGCTGCGGAGAATCTGTCGTCGGATGGTTTTTTGGAAGATGACTCTGACGAGGAGCTGGACATTGACATTCAGCAAGAGGCTGCAGCGCGCCTTCGTTTCACGGCTATTCTACTGGTACCGTTCATGCTGCAAAACGAGCTGGGTGCGGTGATCCACACGGTGAAAACGCTGCTGCGGAAGGTCTGGTCTCCATCGCTGTCAGCGGGAGCTGCAGATACGGCGACAGTCCAGACGCTCCCGGCGACGTTCGTGGCGAAGCAACATTTCTGTCGCCTGCAACTTTCATTCCAGCAAGAGGAAGATGCGATTGCAGTGAGGTCGAAGGTTGCGGAATATCAGCGACCCAAAGGGAAGGTTACGCTCTTCTGGCAACACACGGAGGATCCTGCATACCTTAAGGAAAAAGCTTCAAATCCTCTGGTCATTGAGCTTTATTTTAAAGATGTTCCTGCTAACGTCTCACCTGAGTTGCTGAAGGACATGCTATGTCGTTATCCCCTGAAGATCCGCCAAGTCCCTGCTTTTGCAAAAGGCCTCTGCTTCCATCGCGTCCTTCATCCTGTTACTGGTGCTGATACGGACACAGTGGAGGGACTGGTGGTTGCACATCCGAATGATCGCCACCGCTGGCGTCATGTTGTCAACAACCCGATGGACACCTCAAGACAGATACTGGTTCACTACCCTGTGCTATCCTGCGGGTTCTGCGGCGGACACCATTATGACAAGTTTCATGATGTGTTCGTCACCGAACGCCAGAATAACATAGGGAAGTGGACATTGAATCTGGGAAGGGTGCATAAGCTTAATGGTAACGCAGAGCTGTTTTCTATTACATCCGCAGAGTTCTTACCTTTTCCGCAAGATGCTAACTTCTGGGTCGCCTGTCGCAGCTGCGTCCACCCGTACGTCACCGCTAGTCACTCCCATCCTCCTGGACCCTGCCATTGCGCTGATTTCTACCGGGGGAAATCGGGAGGAGTGGGTGTGCACCCAGGCAGGGTGTGGCAAGGCGAAAGGCCGCTCTTTCATGACCGCTGCAGATCATATCACATCAGCGGATCACCTGATCCATCTGGAAGAGCTGGGATCTGCAACCAGGGAGACCATGGGAAGGATGAGTCTCGCAGCAATCAGGAAGGAGTACGAGTTTTAAAGAAAGAATGTGGTCGCTGTCGTACGTGCGATGGAAGATGTGCTGCAGTCAGGCTTCGGAGGGAGGATCGTGCTGATGTACTTAGGGAGACAGTTTGGTGCTTTCTCGTTGGTGTTCTGTTTTCGTCAGTAGCAGTTAGCGGCATTTTCTGTATCAGTGTGCTGTTCCGACCCGTGGATGCGGAGGGGTCTACGGAAGTGGTTAAATGAATAAACGGAATAAGTTCGTGGTCACCGCGCTAAATGTCAACGGCTTAGGCGGTGCAGAGAAGAGAGAAACTCACCAGCAATGGATCAGAACAGCAGCCAACGTACTAGTCTTAACGGACACCAGGGTGGAAGCAGATCATAATTTCTGGACTCAACTGAACCCAACGGCTTTAGCAGCAGTCTCACCGGCTGGAGGAGCAGGAGGGGTGGCCATCCTTAGTTTCACCGCAGGAGTAGTCTTCAAAGATGTTCACACGCACGATTCAGGAAGACTGGTTGCTGTGACGGTTACCAGAGGGGACCTATCTTGGAGGATCCTGGCAGCCTATCTTCCAGCACAAGCGACGAACAGGAGTGTATTCTTCAGAGACTGCTTACCTGACTTCATCAGTGAACTGCAGCCAGTTGACCACACGGTGCTCATCGGCGATTTGAATGTGATAGCGGACCCGAGAATCGATAAGACGTCAAAAGTGGGGTCGTCGAGAGAGAATCAACGGCTCTTAGACCTGTTTACGCCGCTGGACTTACAAGACGCTTTTCGTACCTTGCATCTGACGAAGAGGGAGTACACCTTCTACGCTCCCTCGGTGAAGGAGAAGTCCCGCATCGACAGAGCGTTGGTGTCACAGTCGCTCCTTAGCAAAGTTGGTAATGCGTATCACTCGTCGATCCCACATGGCCTCTCTGACCACTAGTATGCGGTTTCGTTGGGGTTGTGTGTGGAAACAGGCGATGGAAGGGGTCCAGGACTGTGGAGGATGCACGCTGCACAAGCGAGAAAACCGGGGGTCAGAAAACGGATTGAAGTAGTTATCGGGAACCAGGCGAACCAGGAAGCTCAAGAGTTCCCGGCGCTGCTGGTTAAGCTGCAGGCGAGCATTCGAGCGTACTCGCGGGAGGAGCGGAAAAGGATCAATAAGACTATGGCGCGACTGGAAGAACAAGTAGCGCGGCTGAAAGAGGAGTTCATGAACGGCTCAGGAGGGGCGGACTGCTATGAACAGATGACCAAATATGGTTCGATGCTCAAGTCATATCAAGAGAGAGAGCGTGCAAGGCTGCAGACTATGGCGGGGGTTCAGAAGGAGGTGCTAGGCGAGGTTCCTTCACCTGTTTTGTCGGGGCGGATAGCAGCGAAGAAAGCGCAAACTGTGATTGAGGAGGTCTCTTTCAACGGCACGAGCTACGCAGGAGAGAGGGAAGTACTCACGGCTGCCTCCGCATACTTCACTGAAGTTTTCGCTGAACAACGTACGGATGACGTCTCGCTTAGGCCGGTTGACCCATGCAAAGTGCTTAGCGGGCGAGATCGGGATATGCTGCGAGCGCCTTGGACTGAGGAGGAGGTGCGGAAGGCGATAAAGCAACTGCCAAAAGGGAAAGCGCCGGGCCTGGATGGACTCCCCAAGGAAATCTTTGAGGAGAACTGGGACATCTTGGGGCCCAGTTTCATGAGCTTCGTACGGGACTTTGAGCGCTCGGCGCGTCTTCCGTCTCAGCTTACGACAGCCGTTACGATTCTCCTGCACAAAAAAGGGGACAAGGCAAGGTTAGAAAACTACAGGCCTATTACTCTCTTGAGTGCTGCGTACAAAATCGTGGCGAAGGTGTTGGCGGATCGGATAAAGCAAGTGATGGCGGCGGTGATTTCGGAGCATCAGTATGGCTTCTTACCTGGACGGAAATTGGCTGATGCGGTCAACGTGGTTGCAGATGTCATTGATGCAGCGGCGGCAGGGAAGGAGGATTGGTACCTTCTTCTTGTCGACTTCCAGAAAGCGTACGATTCCATATCCAGGAAGTTTATGTTCCAGACTCTGGAAAGGATGGGCTTCCCGGAAGAATACGTGGAATGGACAAAGGGACTTCATGACCAGTCCGGGACACAGATGCTGATCAACGGCTGGCTGGGAGACAGAGTGGGGATGGAGAGAGGAGTTAGACAAGGCTGTCCGCTAGCCCCATATCTCTTCATCTGCGCTGCAGAACCGCTCAGCCAGGAGATCAAGAGGAGACGGCTGGGGGTATGGAAAAGAGGAATTGGAGAAATTGGATACTTGGGATATGCGGATGATACTACACTGGTATTGAACCGGAAGGAGCAGATCGGGAGAGCATGTGAGCTTCTGGAGGAGTTTGGGAGGAGATCGGGACTTAAGGTCAATCGTGGTAAAACAGTGGTGGTACCGCTCGGCAAGAACAGAGCCTTGCCGCCACCCGTGGACTTGCCATACACCTGGGCAGGCAAGGATGAACCACAGAGGCTTCTGGGGATCTGGATCACCCCAGGAGGCGACCCGGGGCCTTCGTGGGAAAAGGCGGCAGACCGCGCGGGGGAGGTGTTGATCGCGTGGCAGAACCAGCATGTGAATACGTCGGTGAGGGTCACGGTGCTCAACTCATATGCTGCGCCCATCCTCCTCTTCCAGGCGCAGGTTTATCCACCTCCGAAGGAGATGTGGAAGGAATTCCGCACCACCAGTCACAATTTCACATCCAGCGGCAACGCGTCGGCTGATCGTCACTTTGTCCTATGGAGCGGAGACCTGGCGTACAAAGAAAGGAAGGAGGGAGGTCTGGGGGTCATTGATCCGACGAAGCGAGTGGACTGTATGGCACTCAAAAACCTGGGCACAGCGATCCTGCAGAGGAACCCGATGAAAGTGTGGCTGATGGAAAAAGCGGCCTGCATGCCGTTCGGATGGGCGACGCTCTTGGCACACAGAGCAGTTCTACGGTTGTGGATAAATGGGAGCGAGAAATGGCGGAGGACAGTGATTACCTTCTGGCAGACTTTGCAGTCC